GGCGCGACGGCGGTGCGCTTCCGAGCAGCGCGGCGCCGTAGCAGAGCATTGGTTTGAATGGCGGTCTTCCGACGTGGCAGCGGGTGGCTGCTGCTGCGGCAGCCGACGCCGAACTCCAGCCCACGCGAAGCAGAGAGGCATACGCGCCACGGCTAGCAGTACACAGCTTTAATGGGAGCCTTCCCACTGTGCCGCCGGTCGCTGCGGTTTACCTGCTCCGGTCCCTTTGTTCGTCGTCGCTGGAGGGTCGGCGAAACGTACCCCTCCAGACCCCACCCCCTTCCACGGCGGGTGGCGGTGCGGCCGTGACTGCAAATTTTATTCATGGAAATTCTACATCATATCACCTTGTACCGTTACAGTACTATTAGCGTATATTATTATATCCTTTCGTATATATTTTTATAAACTGTCCCAAAAATATTCGCAATTTTTCAGGGAGTGGAAGAACTTTCGACACTAAATTTAACAAGAGTTTAATATAATTTAACTATTACTTTTTCGTTACATTATTTGCAATAAATATTGGTCAATTTATCTTTTGTCGTTTGTTCAAAAATATTAAAGGGACTTTTTTCGCACGAATGGAAACCTTTCTTAGTAAAAACGCGCGTTTACAGATTGCCAACATAGGTTTCAAAAATCAAAATCTACGGAAACAGCCATATTTTCTTTCCATAAAGATGTCGCCTCATCCATAGATCAAAACGAAGCACCTATTGGAATATTTTTAGATCTTTCAAAAGTTTTTCATGTCATTGTTCATAACATTTTACTTTCAAAATTACCTTCGTATGGAATTCGTGGTATTGCTCTGGATTGGTTATGTTCGTACCTTAAACAATGATCTCAGAGAGTAGAAATACCTTACTGTAATAATGGAACATTATGTACACACCTTTCCGTTTCTTTGCCAATTGCATCTGGAATTCCGCAAAGATCGATTTTAGGCCCTATTCTCTTCCTACTATACGTAAACGATATGCCCTCGAAGATTAGAATCGGAAGAACAGTTCTCTTTGCGGATAATACGAATGTTCTTTGCAATAAAGAAACCGCAAATAGTATAATATCAGATATTTCAAATTGGTTCCGTAATAACAAATACAGAGTAAATGAAAAGAAAACTGTTTCAAAGCAGTATTCCTTCTCAAATAAACATCTCTGTACTCCATTGAAAAAGAACGGTGTGCCATTGACTGATGTTACGGTAACGAAATATTTAAGTCTTTTAATTCAGTCAAACCTTCAATGGATCGTCCATGTCAATGAATTAAACACAAAATTTAGTTCTTAAGAATTCTTTTAAATTCAGTGTGCCTCTATACTGCTCGTTGTATATTTCGCGAATGTTCATACCCGCCTGAGATATGGCATAATATTCTGGGGAAATACATCTTTATCTCCGAGACTTTTAGATTACAAAAACGAATTATACGAGTAATAAGCAAATCCCACCCACGTGATCCTTGGAATCCTCTCTTTATTAGTCTAGGTATCTTACCATTACCTTGTCTCTTCATATACGAATCAGTGGTTTTTGTTAAAAATGACTTACTTAAGGGAGAGAATATATTTTCAGCAAACGCAGGTATGTATAACTACAACACTCGACGTAGTAATCATATTCATCAGGTGACAGTATCAACAGCTCACTACAAAAAACTCACACACAATACATGTACATTATTCTACAACACTTTGCCAGATGGCATTACACAATTAAATTCGATACAAAAGTTTAAGTCCCAAGTAAAATCTTTTCTGCTGACAACTCTTTTTATACAATTAGAGACAATACCGAGCATTCAAAAGGAAAGTAATATTAATTTTAACGACATGTATTATTTATCATTTTAATTGTATAATTCTAAATAATCTGTTACAAGTATTGGACTTCAGCTTCTGGGTCAATGACCCCCATCTCGATCAGGTTTTCGTCCAATTTATCTGATCCTTGCGCAAATGATGACATGGCCACTTGTTTTGACTCTGGACATAAATGTAACTTCAATTTAACTTCTCTCCATAACACATCACACTCAGTTTTTAACTGTTTTTGACGTAAATAAATAAAACAGTGAAAAGTACGTGATCATTTGAAAATAGAAATAAATATTTCACTTTATCGTATTTTAAAAAAAGTTTGCAGTTTCCTTTGCAGAATTCAAATTTTGATGGTTGAATTTCAATATTCAAGTCACGTGTTTAAAATATTACTTGATATCTCCAATGATTTTAATGTCAACATTTTTTATGAAACATTTTCATTATCTTCTACTTGGCAAATTTTAATGAACTATTGATGACATTTCTTACTATTCAATTGGGATACGAGAGGTGGCAGAAGAAAATAGTTAATTTGGTGACCTACGTAATATTTGGGCTTAGCTTTTACACAAATAAAGGCTTGAAGATGGCTTAGCATTGACACAACGTCTTGAATTATCGGACACAAGTTGGTTATCATGAAAATACAACTTTATTTTAGAGAAAAAAGAGCATATCATTGCGAGAAAATATACCTAAAAAACAAAATAGTTTTTAAACCACTATAGGCAGAGGAGAACCTCCAACGAAGAAAGAACACGACGTTTTAAATGCAAATCGACACTTATGTCGGGTCCATAAGCTCACGGCTTGTATACTTAGCTTTATATTTCTTGGCGCGTGAGGGCCCATCTTCACGCTAGAATACCTCACGGTATTTCGCGTCTGTCTCGGACGTGCCGCTAGATATCGCATAATTACGCACCTATCGAGCACTCCTGACGAGCAAGCAATATCTAGTGGCACGAAACCCAGAAAGACGCGAAATACCGTGAGGTTTTCGATCATGAAGACAGGTCCTCACGCGTCAAGAAATAAAACTCCAAGTATAGCAACCTGCCGCTTGCCATCCAGAGGCGACGGAGCTGTCTTCCGTACTACTACAAGTCACGTGTTCTGGACATCTCTAAACGCCCATTCACAATGCAAACGTAAACATAAGCATAGCGACTAGACATACACATTAACATAAGTGATATACTGGTGTTCGCAATGTCTCACATAAACGTAAGCAAAATAAGAGTTTCTGTTGTCTGTGAGACATTCTGATTGACTATTGGTTGGATATGAGAATCGATTTCAAGGTATCGGCTGTGTCCATGGTCCTTATGGAGTTAGTTCTATCGTCTTCGGTCCAATTTCGATTCTCGATTTTAGGTTACCGTTCTGTGATTGGTTCATTTCTTATGTCTTACTTAAGCATAAGTACAGAAGCTTGAAGTTGCGAGCTTTGAACGTAACGTCTTACGTGTTATGCTTATGCGAACGCATTATGAGTCTTCTTCTGGACATAGTTCTAACTTTTATGCTAACGCCATTCTTATGTTTATATTTGCATTGTGAATGGGCCCTAAGGGACCGTCCATTAATTACGTAACGCAAATTTGGATTATTTTCAATACCCCCTCTTCCCATTGTAAAGCACCCGTATCGGGCTCTTGGACCTCCTAAATAATTACGTCACGCTTGTGACCCCCCTAGTAAATGCAAGAAGTGAAAATAAATTATAGCACAGTAAAAAAAATTGTATTTATTTTACTTGCATTATATATTAAAGTAATTAACGATAATTAAAGTAGAAAGTAGTTGGCGATGCTGACTGCACCTAACAATAAGACTGGTGCAAGTTGTGAGTGAAGGAAGAGTGCTTGGGCAAGAAATGTTTGATCACAAGCTTTGTATACACCGTCGTGGATGATGCATAAGCTACAGAGCCATTTTAAATGGATTCTAGAATACACTTCATATTAGTTTTGAATATTTTCTTCGTAATCTTAGAGAACGTTGGAAAAATATTACATTTAATGTAACAATTTACAGCAAATAAGTTTAGTTTGTTATGTTTTTAAAACAAATTAGTTAGTTAATATTTTATTATTACAGTTACACAGGGCTGAAAAATGAATTATTTCAGCAAATGCTGAAAAATGAAAAAAAGTTAATATCAATGTTACGTAACACTTAACTTCTTACTCCTACGAAACGCAGCGTAACAGTACCTCAGACACCCTGAGGTGGAACAGTTCGGCGCGACATCTCTGATCAGAGTATATATCAGAGACGGCACTCAATGTTAAACGGAAAGCCCTTATTTTCATGGAGGGGAGAAATTCGAATCTCCCACCCCAACAGAAACAACGAATGAGAAAGAGGCAGCCATATTCGCCCACCACCAGCCAATAAGCGTCGAAAGCAGTAAACCAATTGAAATGGAGGATGGACGTGAACCGGGCTATTTGAAATTACTTTATTTAGTAAATTTTTAATATGGTGGACATGGTTATGTACTAAATAAAATGTATTTGACATAAAAATGAATGCCCAAGGTAATGTAGAAGTCAGTAATTCTTAAAGGATATGTAATTGTGAGGAAGTGAAGTAAATTGAAATGATAGGAAGTGAAAATTAAAAACAGGTATTTTACATATATAATATTTATTTGTAAAATTGGTACATATACAAAAAATAACAATGGGCATGAAAAAATCCTGTTATGTGCAACAAAGGAACAAATCCTGGTCAATCATCATTTGTGATACTATCATTATTCTAAATATCACTGCTGCTAAACAAAACAAAATTAATAATAAATTTGTCTTATAAATACAACGTACGCCCAAGCATGACGTCAGTGCTGTGTGGTCATATATACTTATACTATATATTATATATATATATATATATATATATATAAGCATACAATACACCGAATAGAAGATATTTTAAAATTGAATATAAGACATAAATGAAAATTTAAAATTCCAATTCTTCCTATTAAATGGCAATATCCATGGAAAAGTTAATTGAATTTCTAGTAACATGGTAGGTGTAGAAAAACACTTAATATTTAAATATCAATAATAATCAATAATAATAATAATAATTAATCATTAATAATACATAATAATAATAATATATAAAAATTCTGGATAGATTCGTGCCTACTAGGCTGGGTCAGTCCTTTATATCCAACAACCAGTTTAGGGGGTTTGAAAATGTGCAACAGAAAATGAAAAAAATATTAGTATGTGCTAGTTTATATTGATGGAGATACGTGTTATATAATTAAATATAAAAATGCAAAAACATACATAAAAGTCTCCAGTCTCTGAATACAAAGATTAACAGATAGGTTTTATAATATTGAAAAGGTGGACACTTTCTGAGGAAGGACAGAATCTACAAAAGAACTGTCCGCCCTAAAGGAGGACGATTGGCCACCTTATTTATATTCAATTTTGACGTTTGAATATGAACTTTATTTTGCCACTCGAAGCGAAGAGTCGTTCAGTGATTGAAAGATTCATCCTTCCATAAATTTTGCCGATACTAGCGCCTCAGACGGGATATTAGGGAGACTTTCTTTTGATTTCTTCCTTTGCTAATAGATGGCTCGCTTTTCTGTCATCTTCAAGATGCCGATATGATGCTGAGCGTGGCATGCGCAGCACGCGTATCCCTGTCGCGCCCGGTGTCGCCCGAATGACCTTCAATATAATGAAGAAACATATGTCCAGAGAAACGTATATGTCGCCAATCGGCGATAGGCTCCAAAGCTTTTCATCTCTAATTGATGCCTCCTTACCTCATTTGTAGAATATACGAGCTGTGTATGCACGAAAGTAGTATTTTAGTTCAGAATTAAATTTATTTTTCTCAATTGCTGTAGTATAATTAGAGTATTATCCTTTAATACGTTCTCCAAACAAGCACAAAAATTAGACATTTGTGTTAAGACATCGTAGATCATAGGAGAACGTTAAGTTAATTCTTATCGTTTGACACTGAGTTAGAAAATGATTTCAATCTGTGTTTACTATTTTCGTTAAAGGGACCTTGAGCTCCAATTACTTCATAGGCTATCATTGAAGACGTGTGACGTTTATGAACTTTGACATGTTTATCGGATAAGGTAGCCGGTTCTTGCTTGACGACTAGGAGCAAGGAGCCAACAAGGAGCGGTTCATTGCATTCCTGTCGAATCCTTTATGCTTTCGCTCTGACTGCAGCAAGCAAAACCTACGCGCGATTTCCAGTTGCTGGAGTGTAATTGAGGTGAACACGTGATAATAATTAAGTAAGTAATGCCACGATATAACAATTTTCATTTATTTCATTCACATTACCCTCACATTCTTAGTTTGAACGTTCGTGAAGATGCGAACGGACGTTAGTAATGTGGATAGTAGGTTTTAACATTGTAGGGTACAGACGAAAAGGATGCCGAAGTAATAATTTGTGTGTTCTTCGCTCCATGTGGAAGAATTTTACTCTTGGAGTTCATACTATATGTGTTAAGGAGTGTAAATATAATTTTATAATTCTTTCAATAGTGTTGATATGCAATTTTAAAAATTGAAATACCTGGATTTTTTTGAGAAATTTATTGATATAAATGGTATTTAATGAAAAGCTTTTCATTAATCAATTTTACTATTTTTTTTCTCTCAATTTTCCAAATTTCTTATTCTCCCAATCATTTCCCCTCTGCCTGTTGCTAAATTCCATGGAGGGGAAAAGGCACATCATTCAGAATTTTGAGATTTAAGAATTAAATTAAAGAAATGCATTTATTTAATGTTATTTGCATTAATGTTGGGAATCTGAAGTTTCACTCGTTATCACTGTTCAGAGATGTGACCCCGACATTGGAAGAATATCATAAACCGTGCAAAACAATTTGTTCTGAAGGACATGAAGTAGGACTGGAAAAAAAATCATGGTTTAAAAAACAATCTAGTTTAAATTTAAAAAACCTGATTTTTTTAAATTTAAATAAATAACAAAAATGTAAATCAGATTTATTTGATTTAAATAAGATTTTTTTGAAAGTTGTTTTAATGTTTTTATTTTAAAATAAATCTTTAAGTGATTTATTTATCCTTAATTACTTATTAATTAAAACCAGAATTTTTTTTAAACATCAGGTTTTAAATTTATCAAATAATTATTTGTAGTTTTATTTTTTTGAAGTAAAGATGCTATAGATTTGAGGGGTCCGGTGCAATTCTGCCCTAACCCACATAATCTTTAAATTTGAGTTACTTATAGTTTTGTGTTCTTGAAACCCTTCTCTTGAATCCATGTTACTAAATAAGCTTGTGGCACCATCTGTTAGCTTAATTTAGAAAAAGGGCACTCTTCGTTCAAAGAAATTTTACCATTTTTTGTGCAAGACCACCCTAATAATTGCTCTCCACTTCAAATGGAATTTTATTAATATACACATAAAGAAAGAGGTGAAAATTATTAAACCTGTAAAGATAATTGATTTCATTAGATTTAACAAAAATAATTTTGTTTTTTGAATGAGTTGTAATCAAATTCCATTTTTTTAATAATATATTATTCATAATTATTATTCATCTTTAAGATGTATTTTAAGTGGCTTTAGCAAATATTTTAAAATTTAAACATCAAGAATTATGGACACTGTTGAAGCTTTACAAAATAATTTACAAGGAATATAATATATTCTTTATATCAACTTTGTAATTGATTTAGGTCTTTTTATCTGAGTAATTTTTATTTTACATATATTTAAAATACAAATATATTTTCAAATATTGCAAATCATAAATATTGATTTAAATTATTAAATTTTTGAAATAATCTCTTGATTTAAATTGTGATATAAATCAATGATTTAAATAATACCAGCCTTAGCATGAAGTATTTGCTTGTTTAACGTTTTTTAAAACCAGTAATAATTAAGAGTTTTCAAATTTTAGGATTCCTTACTGAGTATTCTGACACTATACATAAAGTATTATATGTTTTTGTTTGGATGTAGGTAGAAATAATTAAAAATATATATTGTCCTTGTAGCCTTAAATCAAGTAGTTGAAATATCTTAAATTTTTCATCTTGAAGATTTTTAACAAATACCTAATAATAATATTTTCACAAAGATTGATAAATTTTAATTATAATTATTGGGAAACATTGGATTTTACTGGAGTTTTATAATTATGATGTAATATATTTGTTTATTTCATTTGTTTGTCAGAACATTGACCAGATATGAATTCAGATTATGATCTGCCTTTACAATGAACTTTTCTTTCAATCTCATTTGCAGACATTTTCACCATGGCAACTGAAGGAGAAACATTTGGCAAACTGCTCTCCGGAACTGAGATAGCAAAGTAAGTAAAGGGATAAATTGTGTCATATGTTCTTTTAAAATTTAATCTTATAATTTCAGGACTGATTTATACTTGTCTAATGTGGCACTGCAATGGAGAGAAGGGAGTGAGTGTTAATTTGGGTTTTAACATTATAGACATGACTCCAAAAGATACATTTTACTCTATGTATTTTAAAATGTTCATTTTGCATACAATGGTTAATAAATAATTAAAATTAAACAATGAAATTCAAAATGTAGACAATCAATGGATTCATTTCAATGGCATCATTCTAGCAGTTTCAGTGTAAATTGACATTGTGGATTTTTAAATATAACAGGTGAAGTCAATTTTTAACCCAATTTAAGACATCACTACGATCTATTAAATGTAAATAATTTCACTGGCAGGGTGAGGTAGGGCATAATAGAGCTGGGTGGATGGATTAGAGCAGGGTGGGTTTGGGTATATATCCATATATATACATATTTGGTTATGCCCTGAAATTTTTTTTGCTTGAAACCTACGGTGTTGCTGAGTGGCAGCAGTTTGACTACACGTTCCCATGTGTGTCAAGAGCATAAATAAGTAATCAGGCAATGCTGGGCTACTTGTTTGGGAGAGAATACCATAGTTATAAATAGTTTGATATCATTGGGGGACTGGGAAGTGGGAGTCACTAAAATTAGAGGGAAGAGGAGAAAGACTAATTCAAATATGACTGCTGTATGCCAAGGGCAAATGTAAGTGTTGAGTAATAAACTCAAGGAACATAAATCATATACCAAGATTACATATTGTTTCCTTTTAGGAGAAACTATGGGCATTGAATCCTGTTAGTATATTACTCCACAGGGTGCATCAAATAGATTTAAGACTTAAACATGGAAGTTCGCAGATTACGGCACTTTTGGATTATTAGGCAAACGTGCAACCCACAAAACATATTTGGCCCCAACACACTTTACCATGTATAACTCAGATATGATGCATCCTGTAGACTTAAATCCAATTTTTGTATCTCTCGGCAACACTGTTGATGTTTTTACACTAAATTCTACAAAATAAGACCTGTTCAGATGTTCTTTTACTTTTCTTTTTTAATATTTTTTTGCAATCCATAGAACAGATTGCCAGAAACACTGAAATCACCAATTTGAATTTATATTCACTTTTAAAACCATGTTTTAAAAATTTCTGATAATTGCAGATTGTAATTTTTTGTGAAAAAGCTTTTGGAGTTATTATTTTGGAGTTTTCTCTCTTCTGGCCACTTAAGCTGTTCAGAGCTTCCTGTTTCATCTACCAGGGGAGGCACTGCATTATATGCCTCCATAATACTTATAAAATAATTTCATAATAAAAAACTTTTGAATTAAATGTTTGAATGCAGTTTAATTTCCAGATTAATAATTGCGAAAACATAGGAGAACATGGTTCTTTCAAGATATCGGCTATAATTTTGTTGAACTTTTGGAGGAACATATGGGAACCTTTGATGAACATGGGAGGAAACATGGGGAACATGCTTGAAACATGTTGTGAATAAATGGAGGAAAGTGTGAAAATGCAAGAGAACATGCATTTGAACATAATGAACATGTGTGGGAACATTCAGTGGACATATATAGTGAACATTTGGGGAACTTATGGTGAACAGGCGAGGGAGTAGAATATGTAGCGTGTAGGATAACGTGCTTTGATAAGCTCATCATGACAGGTCTGCAGTGCTTCAACATACAGTTCAGGTTCTGGTGTGAAGTTGGAATCCAGTATGAAGCTGTTTTGACTTTTGAAACAATGACTTACAAAATACAGAGTGTTGGCACAAGTCAAGCTAGTTAATTTTTATTGTATGATATTTAAATGTTATTATTATTTTTATTGCATTATCACAAATAAATGACATGTCTTCATAACTGAAAAGTGCATTGTGCTAGTTATTTGTTGGTCATTTTCAGATAAAATACTCTGTTGGTGTCATTTGTTAACTTTGTAATTACACTTTTACACTGAAGAATTTTTTTGTTACAATTTGCTTGTAGCTTGGTATGTCTGTTATTTTTGAAAATTATTTTCTCCTTCTTATCAACGTTTTTTGTAGATTTTATTTAAATATAGACTTTTGTTAAAAAAAGTCAGGAAACAAACTGAAAAACTTATGTTAATGTTGCAAAACAATACCTCCCAAGAGAAGAATTTTATCCGGCCAAGACCTGTTGATGTGTAAATGAGTATTCGTAGCTGTATTGTATGGATTTATAATGAAAACATGCTCACAAAGTTTCAAGCCCCTTTTCATAGGAAAATGAGGAGCAGTACACTTGAACAATTACGGCAAACTTCACTTTGTCTTTTGGTGACCCATTCCCTTCGTTCAGTCATTGATAAACAAGAAAAGGGAAAAATAATATAGACATTCTGGAAAAGAAGTAATTACAATACTTATTTGATGACATAAATAAGATTTGTTTTTATTTTAAATTTCAATGAAATTTGGAGTTTGAATTACCTCACCATGTTAACTCTTACAAAAGAGTTCAAAGATGTATTACTGTAGTTTATTTATTAGCATTTGTTTGAATTAAATTGTGCCAGAGATTTTTTTATTTTTTTTCAACAGCAGCAGAAATACTATTGTTAATAAAATTAAATATTGCTTCTGTGTACTGTAGAATAGATAAAAATCGTATATTTGGTTCAATAATATATTGAATGAACATGATAAATCTTTCTTTAAGGGAAATAAGAGCATCACTGGCAACTGAAGTGGCAGAACTCTCTAAACAAATACCAAACTACAAGCCTGGGCTAGCAATTGTCCAGGTGGGAGGGCGTGAAGATTCAAATGTGTACATTAGAATGAAAATAAAAGCTGCTCAGGAAATTGGAATTGATGCAGTTCATGTTAAACTACCAAAATCAATAACAGAAACAGAGGTTTGTATGGTTTTGATTAAAATATAATGAATATTGTATGTGGTCAACAACTCCAAAATGCATTTTCTTTTATCGTGTATTTATATTTTACATATAGTATATTGTCTTTGGTGTTGAATTGTATCTATGTCTTGCAGTTGTTGATGAAACTTGAAAAGTTAAATAATGATCCTAATGTTCATGGAATAATTGTGCAAATGCCACTAGATTCTGATAATCCAATTGATGCCCACTTAATTACTGATGCTGTGAAACCAGAAAAAGATGTTGATGGGTAAGTAGGATTTTTCAGTAAGATCATGTAAAGAAATTACCATTTTCAGTCATATGTTAATGTTGTACATATTAATTTTCTGCAACTTTTCTAAAATCATCAATTTTACATGCTTTAGTATGTTAATGTGGAATTTAAACCTATTTGTAATACAATTATTAATATCCAAACCCAAAATTGAAGTGGCATCCCTATATAGATATCTAATATTCAGGGTAGGAAAGATGCACAGTGCCATGTTGCCAGTCCTTTTGCCTGCTTGCCTCCCTTCTGTTTGCCCACCTTCCATTTGCTAATCTTATTTTCTGCTTGCTTGCTTGGATGCTTGCTTGCTTGGTTGGTTGCTTGGTTGGTTGGTTGCTTGGTTGGTTGGTTGCTTGGTTGGTTGGTTGGTTGGTTGGTTGGTTGGTTGGTTGCTTGGTTGGTTGCTTGCTTGGTTGGTTGCTTGGTTGGTTGGTTGCTTGGTTGGTTGGTTGCTTGGTTTGTTGGTTGGTTGGTTGGTTGCTTGGATGCTTGCTTGGTTGCTTGCTTGGATGCTTGTTTGGATGCTTGCTTGCTTGGATGCTTGCTTGGATGATTGGTTGGTTGGTTGGTTGGTTGGTTGCTTGCTTGCTTGCTTGCTTGCTTGCTTGCTTGCTTGCTTGCTTGGATGCTTGGATGCTTG